AGATGTGTGTTTTTATTTAAATTTTTTATTCAGTAGACCTTCCATATAACGGTCACCGAAGGGACTGTAAATAATGACCGCTATTTAGTGATGCCCGTCCTACAGACAACAATAGGATAACACTCGACGGGACCAAAAATATTGACCCTTTGCATAGAGGTGACCGCCCTATAGAGGTGACCGTTAACTGAAGTTTTACTGTATTTTTATTTGTATCTGTCATCACCTTTTAGAACAGTAAAAATGTTTAGATTATTTTTCTTTCTTAGTATTCCTTACTTTTTTTAGTTAGACTTTAAATAAAATAAAAATTTGAATTATAAATGCATATTGTGTTTATGATTTATAATAATTACCTATTAAACTGTGGCTCAAATAAACAATACATTGTGTATTTCCGTGACTAAAATGTTTTCGAATGTTTATGAGCGACGATTGTTAATACATTTTGCATTATAATATATTTTATTCAACGTAATGAAAAAAATAGGTAATCGGTGTGAGGTAATTTTATGTAAAATCACGTATTCGCGTATGCAAGTAATTACAATTTACATTTACCATAAACGTGTCAGAACAGAGTATAGCTTTGTTGTAGTTTGATGTAGCCCATATTGTCGGTGACGTATAAACCTGGGCAATAGCCAATATTATATTTTAGTTTGTAGTGATTATTGTACTGACCAGGGGCGTCATTTGGGGGGGTGCAGGGTGTACATTTGCACCAACATTTTTTATAAACGCCTTCTTTGGCCTGCCAACAATAAATATAAGCGCCGATATACCTAAGTGTTATATATTAATATATTATATATATTTTATATTTTTTCAGTATTTAAAAAATAATAATAAATATTATAGGTACTAATGGGTTTTATTTCCAAAAATGATCGATGTGGTTGTGTCTTGTGTGGTTATATCATTGACATAATATAAAATAATAATAATATAATATAATTATGTCTATGGGTTATATATATTTATTATTCTCTACCATAGTACCATGATATTATTACCATCGAATATATAAATATCTGTGGGTATAATATTATGCTGGTATAGATTTCTTATCACGTTCCGGTATCTCCCTACTCATTATAATAAGAAAACAACATGATGTATAAATATATAATTCCCATTAAAAGGGAAAAAATTGTCTAAAAATAGCAACCACAGAATATTATTTGTTTACATTTTAGATTCTGAGTGGAACGATGAATGTATTGATTTTACAATGATGTGTGTATTTATTTTTTTTTTATTTTTGTGTCTGTGTACACGATAAGTAGTCGAAATAATGCTTCGATTTTCGACTTCAGTATCTTGTTCGATTGGAAAGTGAATATCGTTGGTGCATTGAGGAGGTCAAATTTTAAAATTCACAGTACTTTTCAAAAGCGCCAAGAAAAACAAAAGAAAAATTAAGGAAAAACGGGAATTTTTACGCAAAATCGATTTTTCAGAAAATTGAATTTGGTTTTTGGTGTAACTTTAAAACAAATGACCGTAGATACATGAAATTTTCACTGGTTGTTTATATTTGCATTTTCTATACTCGATAACATTTTCAAAATATTTTGATTTATTTTGAACTGTTTAGGGACATTTTCATTTTTCATTTTTTTTAGTTTTTTTTCTAGAAATATCAATAAAATTTTATTTGTTGGTTAAAAAAACTTGAAAATTTAATAGAAGGCTCCTAGTATATTGTTTCAAAGGCAGATGAAAAATATTAAAATTCGTTAGTCATGGTTTTTTTTTATAAGCATTTAAAGTTCAAAAATTGACAAAATATGGAAAAATCACGAATTATTTTGAGTTAAGAATTCGTAAAACTTTTTCTTTTGAAATCTAAGATTTGAAAATCTAATACAAGATTACTCATAAGATTGTCTACCTTTATCAATAAAAAAATCTCTACCGGAACATCATATTAAATTTTTATGAGCGTTTGAAATTCAAATTTTTACAACATTGGATATTCACTCGATTTCTCATGTAGCGATTTCCTTATTTTGTTGTAATTCAAAAACGAATAACTATAGATACATGAAAATTTCACTGAATGTTCAGATTAGCATTTCCTATACACTGTACAATTTTGAAAATATTTCGACTCTTTTTGAGCTGTTTACGGACATTTTCAGTTTTCAATTTTTTTAGTTTTTTTTTTCTATAAATATCAATAAAGTTTTATCTGTTGTGCCAAAAAGTGTAAAAATTTAATACAAGGTTCCTGATATACTGTTACAGTAGCAATTGAAAAATATTAAAAATACATAGGCAATATTTTTTTTTATAAGCATTTAAACATCGAATTTTGACAAAATTTATCAAAATCTCGAAAATTATCAATCATTGTAATTAATAAATTATAAAATGTTCAGATTTTATAGCTAACGATTGCAAATTTAAAACAAAGGTTCTCATAAATAGTTCATACTGTAACCAAAAAATCTAAAAAATATATGAACACAGTTATTTTTTACAGACATTTTAAATTCAAATTTGGACGAAATTACATATTAAAATCAATATTAACGATCTTTGTTTTTGTTGTAATTTAAAAATATTATTCGGGGATATATGAAACTGAAAAACCAAAATATTATAGCCTATCCATACAATCTACCATACTATAAGGAATAAGAATTATGCTTATGATAAGACTGTGCATATTTTAAGGAATTTATTCATAAATTCCATATAATTTAACACCATATAGAAAAGTATATAATATATCTTATACCTAGACTGACATACCGTCTCCGCTCAGAATCGTTTTTCTTATACAATGATATTATATCATTGCATTCAAATTTAATACCATCCATTATACAGTGACCCACTTGTAACCTACAGTACAGCAGAGCGACATCCACTTACCCACCTTTTTAACCTTGTCACTTACTTAATACTTTCTACGGTAGAAATGATATTCTATGGTAAAAATTCTACCACCAATTTTAGTTAGTACGTCGAGAGTACGATTGTTCTAGTCGTGATCGAGAAAGAAGTGAAATACTTAATAATATATATTATATAATAATAATAAATTAAATTAAAATTTAGTTAAATTTATTAATTTAAAGTTAAATTAAAATTGATGTGGAAAAATTTAGAAATATGAATTAAGTATATTGTGCCATTTTGAACAAGGTAACCCATAATACAAATTTCAGGTTTAGGCGTTTAGCTATATTATTTATTTTGAGTGTGCAGGGAGAAAAAATGTATAGGTTAGGTTCGATTAAGTACTATTAAGGTGCTTTATATCCATAAATTTGCTTACCAAATACAACTGGCATCCACAATATAATATAAACTTATTAAAAGTACCTACACATAGTTCTTCAAAAATAGTAATAATATTGTGAAGTTTTCATACTAATATAAGTGACGTATTAAATACATTTTACAAATATTCTAGTTTTTGTCCCCACTAGACCCCCCCCCCACTAAAGAAAAAAAAGTTTTCTATGTGGCCTGGTAACAATTTGAATGGCCTGCAAACATTTTCGCACCAACAAAAAAAAAGTTGAAATGACGCCCCTGGTACTGACATAATATTAGTTATTACTCATTACTCATTAGGTATATAAAATATTATAAATTATAATAGTTGAGTTAACGCTCAGTACCTACTACTGTAGTACCTACTTAGTAAGTAGGTACTACAGTAAGTAGTACTTACTGTCTACTGTACATTTGTAACTGTTGACATGAGTTGACAGTTGTGTACTTGTGCAAGTAGCAGTAGGTCTATCTACATTCTACTGTATGGTTATATTATATAAGTGTACCTATTACTGTTTTGAAATTTGACAAGATATTAATTCTTAAATAGTTTTTAATTTTTAAAATTTTTAATATCCTTGTTTTGTATTATTTTTCTAAATACTCGCAATATTGTGTTATGTAAAATATTCCTATTACCTACCTATAAACCTATAGTACCTATAGACTTAATTATATGTATAGTAATTATACAATAATTATGTAGTTACTGGTTAATATAATTTATTTCATAATAATCATAATTACAAAATCTATCCATACTTCATCGGCTTCTGTAGCCGATATATACCCTGTTCAAAATAAGAAGCGACCTGATTTACGCTTGAAAACCGGTTTTACTAGTGGCCGCTGAATCGCTTCTTAAAATGAACAGACTATAGGTATACTACATATATGGTATTATAATACTATAATATATGCGTCACTGTGTCCCACGAAACATGATAGGTACGACTTCGTACGAGAAGTAAATGAGACCTAAGTGTTTTTGTTTTAAAATCGAACAAGCATATTTACACCGTAATAATATGTTCACACTTGTTTATAATGAGTTATGAAATAAAAACGCAATACATTATTGTTGACGTCCTCACCCATAGAAATATTATGTACGAGTGCCTACAACACCACACTACTACACTAGAGTACTAGACATGTATTATTATTTATTATTAATGTTAATAACTTTCTCCCGTACCTATTAGGATTGATTAATTATTATATATATTATATACAGAGAGTAACAGAAAGATATGACAAATACATATACTGGAAATGTTCCTTAACAGTTCAAAACAAATCAAAATGTTTTGAAAATTTATCGTGTATAGAAAATGCAAATATAAACTATCAGTGAAATTATCATGTATATACGTTCATTTGTTTTAGAGTTTAACCAAAAACAAAAATCGATTTTGTCATATCTTTCTGTTACACCCTGTATATTGAAATGTTTGGCTTCGAATCCTTCGATCGATTCTATTAAACATTTTCAGTCTAAGTGTCTTGTAACTTGTATTTGTTTAAACCATTGTAAAAACAATTATTTATTGAAACAATTAAAATTTAATATAAATGTAAATGTAAAAAAAAACATAAAATCATAATTGTTAGTATATAACATTAAGAAAGATGGCGAACCAGTAACCATTACAGAACCCACATCGTTGGTGGCCCATATGGGTTGAGCTTTTTCACGGCCTTCACGGCTTTTTCTTCGACGGTTTTTTGCTGGAGACGGCGAAAGTCCCGTAAGGGCCGTTGTCGAATATCCCCTGGAACCCGGGTCCCGCCTTGCTGGTGGCGTCGATCTCGAAACCGATTGGCCTGCATCCGTTTTTGGTCGCGTACTTTATCTTGATGGTGAATTTGACCGGGGCGCCGTTCTTTTTGCCCAGCTCTTCGCGCGTCCACTTCTCGAACTCGTCCCAGCGGTTCAGCAGGCTGCTCTGTGCGTTGATCTTCCTGTTGACGCTCCGGTGCTGCGGCACCAGGTTCCACGTCTCGACGGGCCCGCCGAAAACGGAAGCCACCACGTGCCCCTGTTCGTCGTCCGACTCCCTGTCCAGCTCGGCCATCCGCCTCTTCCACTTGTCACCCGAGAAACTCGTCCTGGTCGTCGACAGCGCGTACAGCTCACCCTTCACACCGGTGGTCACCGACACGGATTTGCCGTTTTTGCACGTCACCATCGACTCTGTCACTTCGATTTTGTTCTTGCCGAGCAGCGTGTACTTGGTGGACGCCCCGACGTTGTCCACGACCACCGCTCCGATCAACAGCAGTAAGGCGCACGCCATCTGCGCATTCGCGTTGTCTCTCAACATGTCAGCCACACGACGTGTCTCTGATCAATCGCAATATTATATTGAAATATCGTTGGTCGCTGTTAGGATAAAATAATGTAATACAATAGCGTAAATTAATATCGAAAAGTACTGGTCGATCGAAAACTATTACTAGTTACGTATGTAAAATGAAGAAGAATTGACGATAAATTAACTTGAATATCGGTAATCATAAAATTTGATTTCGTATACAGTTACTGCCTCCTGAAGTGACACACTGACACTGTACAATTCTCACGTGCCACGGTCTGATTTATATGGACAGAGCACTATCGAAAAGTACTATCGAATTATTCGATAGTCTGGCGCATTCGAACTATTCGATACTAATCGAATAAGTATTTCGAATATATTTTGTTTTGAATCATAATTTGATAATTTATTGATAGTAACTAGTTACTACTAAGAATTGAATACCATTCGATAGGGCCCATCACGGCATCACTAGCTCACGTACAGTTGTAGATTGGTAGGTAATTGGTACGCAAATCACGCCGTAAAAATACCTGCATGTAATTATTATTAAATCATATTATATTTTTTCTCAGTATATTCGAATAAAACGCAATATTTTAATGACTGGGAATTCCACTGTGAATATATAATAATGCAATTTGTAGGTAAAACGAGTAATATTATAAAATATAATATACGGTAAGCCCGCATGGCGCATACCATTGTATCACGGAAACTGGAAAGTGACATTATAATAATAAGTATGTTATTATACGCATAGTTTATTTTTATATTCAACATTTAATATTTATACATTAATTATCAGTTGATATATTATATAGTACGACTTAACAGGCTCGACTTTCATAATTGCAACGATAATATTATATTGTCTCCTTCATCGGCACCCAGTACCCACTCTCGACGAGTTACACCAGCTTCAGAGTTTCACTTAAGGGGATTGGAAGCGGCGATTTTCTGTCTTTGTCTAACACACGTGCAACATAGGATTATAGACTTGTTCTATTTCCAACATACCGATTAATCTAGTGAAGCGATAAGAATTCTGTAAACAGATTTAAATTTGTCGTCAAGTCTACTTCAGATCGACTTCCCCACATTTTTGATATTATCCCCCAAAAATCATAAAAATGATATATTAAAAAGAGTAATTAAAAAATTGCCATATTTCAATTTTTGGAGAAGTTTTAATCAAAATATCAAAAATGTGGGAAAGTCGATCTTAAGTAGACTTGACGACAAATTCAAATCTGTTTTCAGAATTCTTATCGTTTCACTAGATTAATCGGTACGTTGGAAATAGAACACGTCTATAATCCTATGTTGCACGTGTGTTAGACTAAGACAGAAAATCGCCGCTTCCAATCCCCTTAAAGCTAGAATAGTTTATGAAACACTACAAAATGTTGACAAATAAACAATAGGAACTACGTAATTAACTACCTACTAAGTAGTAATACAAAAAAGTAAATGAGTCTTGTATTAGCTATAGATTTCGAAAATCAAAATTATTGTGCACACAAAAGGGAGGGTAGTTATGGGGTTAACTCTTTGAGGGGCCGTGGTTAGTATGCTAACCACTTTTTTTTTTACCGTTCAGGTGCGGTGGTTACTATTTTAACCACTCTTAAAATTATTTTTAATATTTTTTTAATAATGGTCAGCATACCAACCACCTTATTATCATCTAATACATGCATCAAACAATATCACTGCCGCTGGTCTGATATTATTTCCCGCGTTTTTCATCATTTATTATCATTATCAATATTTTGATATACGTACTAAATGTTATGGTAAAGAGACATATTGCCCACATGGGCTTTTTTTCCAAAGAAATTTTAGCCCCTCAAAGAGTTAAAACTTTCCCCAAAAATAATAAGATATGTTTACTGAATATTTTTATTCATTACCTACCTTCCTAATTCCTAGATGTTTCTTTAGAATAACTAAGTATAATGCTAAATACATGCTCGTTTTATGAAATATTGGTCTAGTCAATTCAAAAATAAATTATGAAGTTCAAGAAAAATATGAACTACTTTTAGAAATATACAACGATATTTTAATTATAATAGTTAATGACTTTAATTTGTAAATATGCAATCAATAATTAATATTTAATACTATAATATACTATAATACTATGTTATAAAATATAAATATAAATCAATCTCTCAGCTAATGACTGTTTTGTTGAAGTCGTAATAAACGAATAGTATAATATTTTCAACCATAAATTGGAGAATCAAGAACAACAACTCATAGTCCATTCGTTAATTTTAATTCCGATTTCAGAGTTATAATTTTATATATTTATATACAGTAATATGAACTAATAATTAATATCATAGTTAGGTACTTAAAATGTTAATAGCTTTATCAATATTGTCAGTATCAAATACGAATTAAACGATCATTATCGACACTTATACCTACATATTATACCTACGACCTACCTATCTGGCTATCTGATACTTGTGCCTACTATTACTATTAAACTATCACCATGTTCCAAGTAGAAAACATGTTCAAAATGTCCATAATATTCTAAAAATTAAATAATATTGACATTATTATTTCTTTGTTTATGTTAAACAATTTCACTCGTAATTAATATAACTACCTAACCCACACGGATACTATCATAATATGATAAATAAACAAATTATAAATATAAAAAATTATAAATCAAATTAATAAATAAATTAACATATTATGATAACGTGTTAATCACGCGGCTTCCACGGAATACTGTGACTATGTAATACTACTACAATAACGTACTACTGTAATAATACTACAATTTAACTGAGTTAAAATTACAAGACGTAGGTACTTCAGTACTTGAGAAAAACCTGACAACCTTGGCTCAACTGTCTTGACAGTATAAATATTATTCGTGATGTAGGTGAACATTTATCGAAATGAAATCATTAATCATTAATGAGGTATTGAGATGGGGAAAACATCAGCCAAAAGATTATCATTATAATATTATGTCTAATGTATAAAAACAATTATAAATAAATATTATTTTATACACTTGCTATACATATTGTATTTCATGTATTTAGTAATTTAGTATTAACTATTATACTAGTCTAAAAATCTGAAATTATTTATGACAATATTCATATTATATAGCAAAATCTAAAAAAGAGTTCAAGTAAAACATTTTACATATAGCCATATAGCCACAGTTTGAGACATACATTTTTAATGATCAAGTTTATTTTATATTAGAAAAAGCGGCCAGGTGCCAGCCGGACTCGCCCATGAAGAGTTCCGTAGCAGCAAGTAACATAAATAATAAGTAACTTTGATCGATGTTTTAATAATAGTGTATTTTAGATTCTGAGTGAAACGATGAATGTATTGATTTTACAATGATGTGTGTTTTAGATTCTGAGCGGAGCGATGAATGTATTGGTTTTACAATGATGTATGTTTTTTTTTATATTTTTGTGTCTGTCATCACGTTTTAGGACAGTAAAAATGCTTGGATTTTCTTCATCAGTAGCTTTTCTGGTAGGAAAGTGAATCTAGTTGGTACTTTGGGGGGTCAAAAGTATAAATTTCCCAGTAGTTTTCACAAGCGCCGGGAAAAAACAACATAAAAATTAAGGAAAAACGGGAATTTTTACGCAAAATCGATTTTCCAAAAAATCGAATTTGGTTTTTGGTGTAACTTTAAAAAAAATGACCGTAGATACATGAAATTTTCACTGGTTGTTTATATTTGCATTTTCTATACACGATAACATTTTCAAAATATTTTGATTTATTTTGAACTGTTTAGGGACATTTTCATTTTTTATTTTTTTTTAGTTTTTTTTCTAGAAATATCAATAAAATTTTATTTGTTGGTTGCGAAAGCTTGAAAATTTAATAGAAGGCTCCTAATATGTTGTTTTAAAGGCAGATGAAAAATATTAAAAATCCTTAGTCATAATTTTTTTTTATAAGCATTTAAAGTTCAAAAATTTACAAAATATGGAAAAATCACGAAAATTAGCAAATTATTTTGAGTTAAGAATTCGTAAAAATTTTTCTTTTTAAATCTAAGATTTGAAAATGAAACACAAGATTCCTTATAAGATTATCTACCTTTATCAATAAAAAAATCTCTACCGGACAGTCAAGTTAAATTTTTATGAGCTTTTGAAATTCAAATTTTTACAACATTGGATATTCACTCGATTACTCATGTAGCGATTTCCTTATTTTGTTGCAATTCAAAAACGAACAACTGTAGATACATGAAAATTTCACTCAATGTTTAAATTAGCATTTTCTATTCACCATACAATTTTGAAAATATTTTGACTCTTTTTGAGATGTTTATGGACATTTACAGCTTTCAATTTTTTTTAGTTTTTTTTTCTATAAATATCAATAAAGTTTTATCTGTTGGGCCAAAAAGTGTGAAAATTTAATACAAGGCTCCTGATATATTGTTACAATAGCAGTTGAAAAATATTAAAAATACATAGGCACAGTTTTTTTTTATAAGCATTTAAAGATCAAATTTTGACAAAATTTATCAAAATCTCGAAAATTATCAATCATTGTAATTAATAAATTATAAAATGTTCAGTTTTTATAGCTAAGGATTGCAAATTCAACACAAAGGTTCTCGTAAATAGTTCATACTGTAACCAAAAAATCTAAAAAATATATGAACACACTTATTTTTTACAGACATTTTAAATTCAAATTTGGACGAAATTACATATTAAAAAACCTAGAATAACTATTTTAGTTATTTTGTTGTGATTGAATAATATTATTCGTGGGTACTTGAAACTTCTAAAGTGTACTATTATATATCTATGATAGTATCACGGTTTTTGTTGATGTATAACGTGTTATAAGTATCTAATGGATATTGTGATATGATTAATTTGGAATTTATTATAGGTCAATTTTTTTTTAATACCATAGATTTGTATATAATCGTAATTAATAAATTATAAAATGTTCAGTTTTTATAGCTAAGGATTGAAAATTTAAAACAAGATTCCACGTAAGTAGTTAATTCTCTTACCGAAAAATCTAAAAAATATACAATCACAGTTTATTTTTATAGTCATTTTATGTTCAAATTTGGACGAAATTACATATTAAAAAACCTAGTTATTTTGTTGTGATTATATAATATTATTCGTGGGTACGGGGTACCTACTTGAAACTTCTAAAGTGTATTATTATATATCGATGATAGTATCAGGGTTTGTTATTGATGTTGATGTATAACGTGTTATAAGTACCTAATGGATATTGTGATATGATTAATTTGGAATTTATTATAGGTCAATTTTTTTTTAATAAAATAGATTTGTATATAATTTATCTTAAACCTAGACTGACATACCGTCTTCGCTCAGAATCGTTTTTCTTATACAATGATATTATATCATTGAATTCAAATTTAATAGCATCCATTATACAGTGACCCACTACTGTACAGCAGAGCGACATCCACTTACCCACCTTTTTTTTATTTTTTTTTATATTTGTGTCTGTCATCACGTTTTAGGACAGTAAAAGTGCTTGGATTTTCTTCATCAGTAGCTTTTCTGATAGGAAAGTGAATCTAGTTGGTACTTTGGGGGGTAAAAAGTATAAATTTCCCAGTAGTTTTCACAAGCGCCGGGAAAAACAACATAAAAATTAAGGAAAAACGGGAATTTTTACGCAAAATTGGTTTTCCAAAAAATCGATTTTGGTTTTTGGTGTAACTCTGAAACAAATGAACGTATATACATGAAATTTTCACTGGTTGTTTATATTTGCATTTTCTATACACGATAACATTTTCAAAATATTTTGATTTATTTTGAACTGTTTAGGGACATTTTCATTTTCCATTTTTTTTAGTTTTTTTTCTAAAAATATCAATAAAATTTTATTTGTTGGTTGCGAAACCTTGAAAAATTAAAGGAAGGCTCCTAATATGTTGTTTCAAAGGCAGATGAAAAATATTAAAAATCCTTAGTCACAATTTTTTTTTTATATGCATTTAAAGTTCAAAAATTGACAAAATATGGAAAAATCACGAAAATTAGCAAATTATTTTGAGTTAAGAATTCGCAAAAATTTTTCTTTTTAAATCTAAGATTTGAAAATGAAACACAAGATTCCTTATAAGATTATCTACCTTTATCAATAAAAAAATCTCTACCGGACAGTCAAATTAAATTTTTATGAGCGTTTGAAATTCAAATTTTTACAACATTGGATTTTCACTCGATTTCTCATGTAGCGATTTCCTTATTTTGTTGTAATTCAAAAACGAATAACTGTAGATACATGAGAATTTCACTGAATGTTTATATTAGCATTTCCTATACACCATACAATTTTGAAAATAATTTGACTCTTTTTGAGCTGTTTATGGACATTTACAGCTTTCAATTTTTTTTAGTTTTTTTTTCTATAAATATCAATAAAGTTTTATCTGTTGGGCCAAAAAGTGTAAAAATGTAATACAAGGCTCCTGATGTATTGTTACAATATCAGTTGAAAAATATTAAAAATACATATATAATAATACAAATTTATCAAAATATCGAAAATTATCAATCGTTGGAATTAAAAAATTATAAAATGTTCAGTTTTTATAACTAAGAGTTGAAAATTTAAAACAAAGATTCTCTTAAATAATTCATACTGTAACCAAAAAATCTAAAAAATATATAAACACACTTATTTTTTACAGACATTTTAATTTCGACAAAATTTCATATTTAAACCAAGAATTACGATTTTAGTTATTTTGTTGTGATTGAATAATACTATTCGTAGGTACTTGAAACTTCAAAGTGTACTTTTATATATCTATGATAGTATCACGGTTTTTGTTGATGTATAACGCGTTATAAGTATCTAATGGATATTGTGATATGATTAATTTGGAATTTATTATAGGTACCTATTATAGGTCAATTTTTTGTTTAATACCATAGATATGTATATAATATGCCTTATACATAGACTGACATACCATCACCGCTCAGAATCGTTTTTCTTATACAATGATATTATATCATTGAATTCAAATTTAATACCATCCATTATACAGTGACCCACTTGTAACCTACTGTACAGCAGAGCGACACCCACTTGCCCACCTTTTTTTCTATAAATATCAATAAAGTTTTATCTGTTGGGCCAAAAAGTGTAAAAATTTAATACAAGGCTCCTGATATATTGTTATAATATCAGTTGAAAAATATTAAAAATACATAGGCACAATTTTTTTATTTGCATTTAAACATCGAATTTTGACAGAATTTTTCAAAATCTCGAAAATTATCAATCATTGTAATTAATAAATTATAAAATGTTCAGTTTTTATAGCTAAGGATTGCAAATTTAAAACAAAGGTTCTCATAAATAGTTCATACTGTAACCTAAAAAATATATGAACACAGTTATTTTTTACAGACATTTTAAATTCAAATTTGGACTAAATTACATTAAGAAAAACCTAGAATAACTATTTTAGTTATTTTGTTGTGATTGAATAATATTATTCGTGGGTACTTGAAACTTCTAAAGTGTACTATTATGTATCTATGATAGTATCACTTTTTTTTTTATGTATAACGCGTTATAAGTACCTAATGGATATTGTGATATGATTAATTTGGAATTTATTATAGGTACCTATTATAGGTCAAATTTTGGTTTAGTACCATAGATATGTATATAATATGTCGTATACCTAGACTGACATACCGTCTCCGCTCAGAATCGTTTTTCTTATACAATGATATTATATCGTTGAATTCAAATTTAATATCATCCATTATACAGTGACCCACTTGTAACCTACTGTACAGCAGAGCGACACCCACTTGCCCACCTTTTTTTTAAATTAAGATTTATTATTAGAAAATAATGGTTCACGGTTTATGCATAAGGACATAAGGTTTATGTTTATGAAATAAAATGTTTTTTTTTTTTTTTATATTTGAGTTGATTGAATGAAAGGTAAATATTGCGGTTTACGATTTATAACGTATTAAAAAAAAACTACTTACTAGTTCTCGTTCAAACCAATTTTCGGTGGAAGTTTGCATGGTAATGTACATCATATATTTTTTTAGTTTTATCATTCTGTTATTTTAGAAGTTATAGGGGGAACGACACATTTTACCACTTTGGAAATGTCTCTCGCTCAAACTATACAGTTTAGAAAAAAATTATATTAGAAACTTCAATATCATTTTTGAAGACCTATCCATAGATACCCCACTCTTATGGGTTTGATAAAAAAATTTTTTGAGTTTCAGTTCTAAGTATTTGGAACTCCCAAAATGTATTGTTTTATTTTTGTGTGAAAATCATAATGTGGTTCACAGAATACATCTACTTACCAAGTTTTAACAGTACAGTTCTTAATGTTCTTATAGTTTCGGAAAAAAGTGGCTGTGGCATACGGACGGACAAACAGACAGACAGACATAACGAATCCATAATAGGGGTTCCGTTATTTGCCATTTGGCTACGGAATCCTAAAAATATATATACGTATAATTGGATACCTACTTATAAGCTCTGCACGCTTATGAGTTATTTTTCAAAAACAGTCATATTCTATGCAATTACTAATAACAGTAAAATGACAGTAATTTCAAAAGGTAATAGAGAATATAATAAAAAATAATTTGATTAGTTTTTTTTATTAGTCTTAGCAATAGCATTAGCCCAATTTATTATATAAAAATAAATAATAATATAGTGTACCTATACAATAAAACTAAAAAATCGAACAGAATGATAAGACTAAAAAAAAAATCAATTTCCATGATAGAAATTCACGTATAGCACCAGATGTAGGTACTTTTTATATATTGTTAAGTAATCGGCGTAATAAAACAGTATTAGAATAAAACAAAGTTAAATAGTTGCACTGCCGCCGCATCGAGTAAGTCACTAGTCGGCACATGACCGAGCAATCACGGCTTCTTGTCTTTCATTTGCTTCTGCGTCTGCGCGACCGCGCCGAAAGGTCCGCCCGGCCTGTTGTCGAATATGGCTCTGTAACCCGTGGAGGGTTTAGCGTTGGACCTGCCATCCGCCTTAAAACTGACCGGCCGGCAGCCGCTGGCTCTCTCGTAATTCACCTCGATCGTGAAATAAACAGTTGCTTTTCCTTTGATCTCCTCCACCATCCACGCTTCGAACTCGTCCCATCGGCCCATTAAGTTGCTCTCTTTTGAGATCTTCCGGTTCACACTCGTTCGCTGCGGCACCATGTTCCAGGTGTCGTCGGGCGGGCCGCCGATCGTGGACGCCACCAGGTGGCCCCTCTCGTCGGCATCTATCTTGTCTGTAGGGTTTTTTATTCCGTCCATTGCTAAGAACCGCTTGTCACTACTGAAATTCCTCCGCGGTGCACCTGCCACTGACGCTTCGCCCACCAGCAGGACGGGCACGGACAACGGCTTATTGTTCAAACACGTCCGTGATTCCATAGTCACGTTCACATAGCCATTTCCCAAAAGCTGATGACGATGCATCTCACAGCTCACCATCGTCACGGCCGCCGCCCCTAACAGTGCGACGAACATGAGTAACCGCATTATATGACGATTCCTACGGTTAGTACTTATTCGGTTATATTTTATACGGCAGTAGCGTACTGCTGGTTACAATATATTACAGTTATCGTGTTGTTGTTGTTGTTGTTGTGGTGTGAATGGATGGTCTCACGCGGTATAATAGTTTCCGGCAGGTGAATGTCGAGTAGTGACAATATTAGATGGTAATACAACTTATAAGAATAACTCAAAGTTAAAGTAACACATGTTTAATAAACTAATATGCAAGCGAACACCTCACCGTTAGCAAGTCGACACAATCGTACTGTAAAATTGTTTTCAATTTTCAGTCTTATTTATACTATGTAATTGAAGAATAAATAAATACAAATCAGATTAATATTTGTTACGAAGATATAAACGGTTATTGCTTTATGTAGTAACTCCCCGACCCTATTTTAATGTTGTTTCGCTATCACGTCGTAGAGTTAAATATTTATGTTCCGTTTAACCTATTGCAATAGTTTCAGTCTACACAGTAGTTGTTTTTAATATCAGACTGCGAGTAATTTAAATTTAGCCGACCTTGCGTAGTTGCGTGTATGCATGCGTTCGCACACGACATACTTATAGAATCCAAAGGTTTTTTCAGATAATGATGCTGTTATCAAATTTAATCGACATGCCTTTCATACGTACTTGACTCCCGGGTAGACAAAAGTCGGCATCCAGACAGGCATAATATTATTATGTGTTTCATCAGTGTCTAGACTCTAGGTTAAAGGTACGCCTCCTGGACACGGTGGTCGGTGAGACTTGGATCCCGGGGTGGCATGCTTAGGCCATCGCACACCGTGCCTATTTTAAATAGCCCCTACGCACCACCCAGGCTTTGTATTTCAAAACCGTCAACTGGAATCTTCCAGACAAGCAATGTGTTCCTGGGGGGTCATGGTCATATTTAAATATTATTATATGGACGTAATATTTCGTATTACCTCCTTAATTAGTTGATCTTACAAGGATGATGTGGATTCGGGATTGCCAATATAGAACCAATTTCCTCTTCTTCGTAAGTCATAACTTTACACATATAGGTACTATCTTGTACATTTTCTTATTTGTTATTAAATAATTATTCAAAACTATAAATATATATTATATATGTAAACGTTATTATTGTAATGTATCCCCAATACCCCATTAGGCTACTAGTCCGCACCTACTACTAATAAAATTAAAATAATATGAGTTGTTTAACGAAACTTTTCCTGTTCACTAGTTCACTACACAGTTGTCGTGTATTACTTATTATTATAAAGTTATACATTTTACTGTGTTAGGTATTTATATTGGCAAGAATACATTTCAATTAACTATAAGTGTACCACTTAACGTTTTTCTCCTAATGTACGTTAAATGAGGACTTACATTAATAGCCTAGTTGTCGTTTTTTTATTGTCGTAATTTTTATTTCTTTGTTACTAACCATAAATATAAAAGAGTGAATTATGGCATAAGGGTGCTGAAAAGATAATGTCCCTAAAGAATAATTAGTATATTTATGTATAGAGGTTGGAATTCTATTTTTTTTAAAGTTTACCATGTATACTGTATAGATACAAGACAAATGTATCGGAAATTTGTAACAGTTATTCAATTATAGTTATAGTGTACAACTTTAAAACAATTTGTTGGATAGCTGTACGCGTTGACTTAACCCATTATGGAATTATCCGACATCTGTATTCTTAAGTTTAGAAAAATGTATAGTACCTACCTATGTGTAATTTAAATCTGTAAATATAATTTGATACCACCAATCCGTTGCATGTATATAGGTATTGATATACGCCTTAATATGGTATTAGGTATATTATATTGTATTGTACAGTACTGTAATAATCGAAAAAAAATGTTAAATAACATAATTATTTAAAAAAAAATAATACCTTTTTCCTACCATAAATCTAAAAATCAAATTGAACGATAGGATTAAATAAAATTGATTTCTATACTCGGAACCTAAGCTTCCTATATGTAAAGTTATCGGCGTAACACAGTAATAAAAAAAAAAAAGTAGTTTCGCTGTCTCCGCATCGAACAGTCACTAGTCGGCATGACCGAAAAGTCATGGCTCTTATTTTTCAATGTCGCGGACGACTCCACGAACGTCTTGAAACGGTCAGTCGGCCTGTTGTCGAATGTGCCCCTGAAGCCTGTGGATTTTACAGCCCTGGAATAGGCGTCCATGGAGTGAAAAATACGGTTCCGACAAAATTCGGTACCTATAAAATACGTTTCTGACAAAATATGGTTCCGACAAAATTCGATTCCGACCAAATACCTATATTCCAACTTTTTATGCGCCTCTGGCATCCACCTCGAAACTGACCGGCCGGCAGCCACTGGCATTTTCGTAATTCACCTACATTATATATTTTTAATTTTTTTTCACTGGTAAAGTCTGGATATATAGGTACAGCTAAAAATAGATATTAGTTTATCAGAAATTAATGGACTCTACTAATTATATTTAGTATTCTTCAATTATTATATGGTAGTTGAAATAAAAATCTATTTTATAAAATAGTAATAAATTATGTAAATACAGTAATTATAAAAATGGCATGGTTATAATTACTTTTCAGGTTTAGATGATAAACTAGTCCTACCAAATAAAGAAAATAAATATTAATAATAACTTTTTGCCTTCATGGAACAGGTTTAATGAATTTATAACACTTGAATAACAAAATTTAAATGTTAAGTGATTTTTCAACAAAAACAAATGTTTAAAAAAAACATTTGCCCACCTATTATTGTGCTGAACTAAAATAAAAAAAAACTTAAATGAAATGTATAGTTCAATTTGGCATTTGAGTTTCTGTATTTTACATTATAAAATTAGAAATACACATCAACAATTTACATTTCAATTAGGTAGGTACCTGGTACGCACATATAAAAATCGACAGGCTTAATTCAATTTGAATTTAAAAGATATACTATTTGCTATTACCTATTCAAATATTAATGACAGACAAGTAGCCTGTATAGCTAAATAGTATGTATTATATTATACTAACGTTCAAATAACATTTTACATCCAATTATATAAAATCAAATACCTATACTGTTTACTTACAAATTACAATAAATCTAAAAAATCAAATTGAAAGATAGAACTAAATAAAATTAATTTCTATACTCGGAACTCTTATACGTAAAGTTATCGGCGTAAAACTGCAGTATTAAAAAAAAACAAAATTAATTAGTTTCACTGCCACCCCATCGAGTAGTCACTATACGGAATGACCGAAAAGTCACGGCTTCTTGCTTTCAAAGTCGCCGATGTCTCCGCGGCCGTCTTGAATTGGTCATTCGACCTGTTGATAGTACACTTATGACTTATCCATGACTCCAAGTTATAGTAACACTGACACACTGTATGTATAATATACGGGATTTGAGTTCACGTCAACACAATTGTACAATAAAATAGTTTTGATTCGAGGTCGTATTTATACGATGCAGATGAAAAATAAATAAACACAAATCAGTAGGTATGCAATTTTTGACGACGATAACTGGTAATTGTATCATAATTGCTTAAGTAATTGACGTTTTTGTTCTTGTCGTAATTTGTATTTCCCTGTTAAACATATAACATATATGTATAAGATTTATGTTGCTCAGCATGGCATTAAGATGTAGATGATAATCATTTGTGAAAACATCGCATATCATTAATTCCAGTATATTTATGTATCACGGTTGGAATGATTCCCCATATATAAGGCGCATAATAGGGCGCATAAATACGACACTAGATATATAGTATAGTGAATAACATTATTCGAAGTAAATATATGTACATTGTACCTACTATACATTCAAATACCATTTAACAGTCAGAAATATTGAATTTGAAAATAATTTTGGCTATGCCATAAATTCACAATAATTAAATAATATTATGTCACAGTGATATAATATTCTACTAGTTATTGTAGTCTCAAAACGATGAAACGGGATGGATGTATAACATGTACATTGTACTTACAATAAATACGAAAATCAGGGTTTAACAATTATAGGACTAATAAAAAAAGTGGGTATAAAGGGGACTTTAGGGGGCTTCACATCTAGAAACTGATTTTTATACTCAAAACTCACGCATGGTACCCGAAGTACCTCCCGTATATACACTTATTGGCGTAAAACAACATTAAAATAAAATACTAGTAAAACAAAATTAAGTTGTTGCACTGGCACTGCATCGAGTAGTCACTAGTCTATGTGGCTGAATAGACGATTCTTGCGTTTCATCTGGGCCTGCGTTTTTGCTGCCACATTGAAATCGTTGTCCGGGCCGTTGACGACCACATCGAAACTGACCGGCCTGCAGCCGTTGTCCTCCACGTAGTTGACCTACAGCTAATCCTCGTTGATCCTCGCTTCTGAATCTGCATGTCCTCCACTTTTATTGCTCGATTTATTGCTCCGCTTGGATATCTCCCAATTTACTCTCACGTGCTGCGACGTCATGTTCCAACTGTCATTGGGTGGGCGGCCACTGAACGTGAACGTCACTGTGTGGCCGCTCTCGTCGCTCGTTGTCCCGTTCATTTCGTTGAACTTCGTTTTACTGGTGAAACTCCTGCGTAGAGTGCCCACTCCCAAAAGCTTGACTTGCACGGACGCCGAATTTTTTTTTCAAGCACGTCCGCGTTGGTCGTCAGCGTGTGCCTGGTGGGGAAGTTCACCAACATCACCCCCTCAGCTGCAAGATATTATGGCGATCGCTGCGGTTATATTTTGTACGGCCGCAGCACGCTGCTGAACGTTTCAATATTATAATATAACAGTTATTACTTATTAGTTATTAGTCACTGTTGTTGTTGTTGTTGTGTGCCGTGTAGACGGACTACGGAGTGACGGATGGTCTCGCAGTAGGATTACATAGATGGTAATATAAGCGCACGACTTTAACTTTGAATAGGTACCTACTATTAAAATACACAACACTTTAAGTGTATGTAAATATATTATATGAAAGCGAACACCGTATTGACGTCAACACACAAGATTAAAATGCTCTTTACAATGGTTTTCAATTTGCAGTCATACGTCTTATGCGGTGCAAACGATAAATAAATAAGAACCAGTATAATATTTCTAACGAAGATATAATATAACTGGTAACTGGTTATTGCATACTTGCCAATTTCAGTTGTTGTCGTCGTCGTCGTTTTCTTATTTATTTCCCTGTTATAAACCTATACATGGACGTATTGTCGATCTAAAATGTTAAAGAGTAATATTCCAGCATGGTATTAATATGTTTATACATGATAATGATAATCGTTTGTGGAAAACAATGCATATTTTTATTTTTAAGTTATTAGAATTGTTTTATAAAAAATATACCAGTATACTTTTGGTAATGGTTTTTTTCTGAAATACAAAATTATTGAAAACTATTGAAAAAATTATTGGACCGGGCCGGGCAGTAAATTGATGACTCTTGCAGGTCTATATAATAGGCAGTCTTGTAAAGAATAATTTTATTTTGTATTCAGAATCATATTCGAATAAATGAGAATTAAGGTATTCAGAATACGTATTCGAATAGTTCTTAAAAATTATATTCAGAATACATATTCGAATACTTTAAAAAGTATTAGAATACTTTTTTCACAACTAGTTTTTGTCAGTTTTTGAATGGTTAGTAATTAACATTTATTAATTAATAATTAAAAATACATCGTGATCATAAGTTATTTATAAATTTTGACCACATATGAATATATGATTCGACCGATACAACACATTGGTGTTTATAAAAATTAAAAATAATCATATCATGGGCCAATATTATATTTTGTTCAAAGAATAAAATTAATGTTCATGATTTATAATATGTCTTGTCACAAATTTAAAACAATTTTTCTGGATCGGAAAAAATTATTTTTTTTAATGAATAAAAAATACAAATAAAAGTATTTATAATGCAATTTCGTGAGAATGTGAGATGACACCTGACTCCAAATATTGATGAAAATAATGTTGCATAATAATATATATTTTAAGATTGTTGTTAGATAAACAAGAAGAACTTCGTATTCAATTTATAATCTTTTTGTAATAAAATAAAAATTATATTCATTTTCAACAACCGAATAATTTGTGAATTCGTGAAACAAATTTGAACTTAAAAAAAAAAGTGGGAAAGTGGGTATCGGTCTGCTGTGCAGTAGGTTCTAAGTGGGTCACCTGTAAGGAGTGGTGTAAAATTTTAATTCAATGATATAAAAAATTGGAAAATCGAACCAATATTGTTGCTGCCCTAAGCGGAGAAGACAGACACAAAAAAATACACATCGTTGTAAGATACTAAAACCAATACATTCATCACTCCACTCAGAATCTAAAAGTTAAAACCAATCAATATTTGACGTAAATATTTCTGTTTTTCCGTTATTTATTAGGTATTATCTGTTTTCTCTGATTTTTTTAAAAGTGTAGGTAATGTTTTGCTTTTGACGCCTCAGAGAACAAACTAGATTAAATTTGTTACCCACACAGCTACACCACCAGGCTCCTTCTATATTGAAGATTGATGCATTTTTTCTAGCTTTTGCTATAATAAGTTGTTAGATATGTTATGTTCATACATTTTAATTTTTAAGTAACACACATCATTGTAAAATCAATACATTTAACACTCCGTTCAGAATCTAAAATGGTTACTTAACCTGCAGATGATTTAATGAAGGAAATAAAATTGTGATGACGAGTGGAGCTCTTTTTGTTCTCACGGTCATCGCCAATATATAAGAGAAGTTGAATATTAGGAGAGGGGTAACATAGATAAGACAGACAAAAGCTCTAAGAGAGGAAAAATAATAATTAACTTCACAGCAGTAAATCAAGTTTATGTATGTACTATGTACAGTATAACTGTACAATATAATAAAATCTGATATTTTGTTCATATTGTTGCACCTACCTGAATCGGTAGGTCCTAAGGACCTATTAATACTGCACCTATTGGATACTATAAACTTGTTGTATGTTTAAATGTGAATAGGTACTAACAAATTACAGCAGTTTTTTTCAAAAGTTTTATTAATTGCAACATTGAAGACTAAATAAGAAAAAAATTATCACGTTTCTCATTTGAGTAAAAATATATTTTGCCTATTAATTTTATAATTGAATAAATATGATAAATTGCATGTTATATAATTTTAAATAAACTTTCTGTGACACTTGAAAGCAACTAAACCTAAAAATAACATATATATTATTATTGTATCTCGACTATTAACAATATAAAACAAAAAAAAAAATCATTTAAATCAGTTATTTTTTTTTTAAATATTTGATGTATTTTGACTTTTAAGAATTGATGTATTTTTAAACATAAATGATAAATTTGATAGACGATAGTATCGTTTGTTTTTCAATAAAATTTGTCTGCGCATCTTTATCAAACATAATAAGTATATTTAGGCATTAAAGCCTAAAGGTCATCTCATTAGACGTGAGTGTATTCCTCAACAATTACGACGTCCTATGGCTTTGGAGGATCCGGCCAAGATACAGCATAGGCAAATTAACATTATACCGTGCACGATGTGCAGTGTCTCAGTATGTAACTAAGTTAAATATTTGTATTTTAATACTGAAGTTAAAATAACTGAATACAAGGTTTTATATAAGTTGATCTTACGACATTCTCAAAAAAACAAAATTTTTTAGTTACACAGCATTTTTTTTTTTATAGATATATGAAGTTCTAATTTTGATAAATTTAGATATTTAAAGGAAAATTATCGATTTTTCGTCTACCGGTTTTACTTATTACCTATATTTTGTCATTAAAAAATTGTAGTCGTAAAGAATATTAAAGTTCCACCATTGCGTGTATTATAATTATCTATTCACAATTCGATTTTCGAAACATTTTCAGACTAATTTAAAGCTATTTATACCGCGAGCCAATTCACATAATTTTATAGTAACTACCCACGTGGCCACGTGATATTATTTTATAAGTTACCAACAATTTTAATATAAGTATGAATGTATGATACAAAAATATAATATTATTATTATAAATGATATAATAACTTATGCGATGTTTTTGGCAAAAATTATTTCAACATAATAATTCCTATACCTAATGAAAAAATAAACTATTAATACCTAACAATATAAAAATGAATTAAAAATATCCTTAGAAATTGAGGCTGACACAGCATGTCTGCTCAGAACCGTTTTTCATATGTATAATGATTTATCATAAAATTAAAATTTAACACATCCATTACAGTGACCTATTCAATTACGAGGTAACCTTCTATTAGATAGCAAACTTCCCCGGTATTGTTAATTTCTAAAATGTAGAATAATGTTTTTGCTGTTAACTTACTTTAACTCATAAGATTGTAGTAAATATAACTAATTAAGTCAATAAATAAAAAATTATTAGGTTCCTAGTTATGGTTCATTTTATTCAATGACGGATTTATGAGGGACTCCCCCCCATGGGCACTGGACCCCCCACAACCAGACACCAACATAAATATTTATATTATATTATATAGATATCTGGTACACTAATATATAGTTATTTATACACCTATTTCAAATATACCTACTGAAATAATATGTTGAATAATAATTTTTAATTTTTCAACAATTATAAATTTATAAAAATAAAAATAACAAGTACCTTTGAAATATATATTTTTTCAGCCCCCCCCTCCCAACACACACCAGGAAAATGTTGAAAATCCACTACTGATTGTATTAATTTATACAATCAAACATTTTTGGTTTTAAATACTTCCACGATTTAAATTCATTAGAAAACGTATAACAAAACATGTGCAGTCGGTATAATATACAAGTATATTTATTCATTTTGGAGACTAAACAAACTAACAGTCATTGTTATAGCGCACATGGCATCAATTAGCATAACAAATTAATGGTTATATATTTGTGTATAATATATTGATATATAGGATTAGGCAAATAAAATATTTAATAATGTATGAGCGTAGCACATGATAGCAACACACATTCGTTACGTTAATCGTTACTCGGTATATACAAATAATCTGTTTATCTGTAATCTTTATAATGCAATTTAGTCGTCTGTTTTTATAAATTATTTTTTTGTTTTTTAACACAATTTACCTTATACATATATGTGTATAATATTATATAGCTGTTATTCGTGATAAATCGATTTTGATGAAGTGTCTATCCATAGTATATTATTATAGCTATATGTACCACAAGCAAATACAGATGGTAGAATACATTTCTCATAAAAAAATAATATGTTATAAGTTATAACTTATAATATAAAGTTGTAAAGTCGAAATAGTTTTTTATTACTTCCTCTATAAAACATATTGTACAGCATATTTTTATAGTTAATAATATAATAATAAACTTAATTTGAAATATTATATTTAATAATTTGATTTTCTTTTTGGTAAGTAATTTTTTAAGGTAATCTTCTAAAAACTACATAGTTTATATTATAAACTTGTATTTGTATTTTAAGAGTTATTTTTTGTCGTAAAACAGGCTCTATACGATATACATGGTGATTCAACATTTATGTTACAAATTACAATCATATACTATTACTATACATATTATTGTAACATAAATTTTGAATCACCCCTTATATGAAATCCATGTTTTTTGAACGTTTAAAAGTCATAAATATAATATTAGAATTATGAAAAAATGTGTAGAATAATTCAGTAATATATTAATATGTTCTTTAAAATATTTAAAAAATAATTAAATCGC